CATAAACCAAGATCACACATCATTATACAAGTTGAGGGACACGTTTATAATCACATGTGATATACTATCTTTTATTCCGGACACACCAAATAATTTCTCAACTTTGTGTGCTTGCAATTTACATTCCCATGCCAATGGACGGGAGCTTGAGTGGAAAGTTTTGAACCTTCTAAAGTTAATTTTGAATCTCATTTTTAGTAACATTATTTAACAAAAAAATCTGACATACTTGATGATATATTTTTAATGTAGATGAGTCCCATTAATATATGTGATATTCACCTGTATATTAGAAGTATAAGAACAAATATGTTAATTTTCTATGTCTAAATAACATCACTCTTATGTTAGATATGAAAATAAAATTCTTTAAGAACTTTATAATACTGAATTAGTTTTTGGAAATATGCTAGTCACTTGTCATGTTTTAGTACAACGTATATTGATCAAATTTGAAAATTCCACGATTTTGACACCTTTGAAAATTCTACGATTTTAAAGCTCTCAGTCTACTCTTATGGGTATTTTACAGATATATAATATATATATATATATATATATATAATATTAGTTGGACAATTATGATATTAGTAGAGCTATATCGTTATTGGTTGGACAATTAGTTGTTAGGAAAATCAAAAGCCGGTGAGAATCGAATCCACAAAAGAATACATATGCATTGATTGTTTTTTATCCCTATGGTAAAAGGTTGCAAAAAAAGAAAAAAGAAAAAAAAAACAGGGAAAACGCATGACAATATTCTTTAAAGATCAATCAAGACCAAACAGTGTTCGGTTTAATCTTCTTTGTGTATTGTTGAGATTATGATATGCAGTAGAGCATCTTTAGTGCATTCTGTAAATAAGATCACTCACCACAATAAATAGATATAAAAACAAATATAGGGATCAAACGAATATCTAATGAATCGGAAAATGAGTTTCCTAAAGTATAAGAATTTATCGAATATGTATGTACTCATATATACATACTGCATAGGGACACAATGAGTGAAAAATGTCGCCCATCACCTTGAATGCTGCTGTGTTGCTAGAAGGTTACTTGCTTGAGAGCAACTTCACCCCTAAAAAAATGTGACAGCGTCCAGCCCATTTAATCCACTCAGTGAATAGTGATAGACCCCAATGAACAGTAATAGGTCAAATGCATCTCCACCCCTACAAAATGTACCTAGCCCATTTAAAATATTATTAAATTTTTTATAAAATAATAAATAAATAAATTGTTTTAATTTCAGATATGATTTTTAACCAATCTCGTCACGCCATGTGTCATTATCATAATAAAATTATATAAACTCATCAAATAAGCTTAAAAACACACTAAATAAAATTACATAAACTCATCAAATAAACTTAAAAAAAACACACTAAATAAACTAAGAACTTTATTGTTCCACCACAAGATCCTTTTAATTATCTTGACCGTGTTGCAATCCCATTAGTGCTCAATCAAGTCACTTTGACAGGAACAATGCCAGTATGGCTCTTGCAATGAAGTGTACCGCTCAGCGATCAATTGATTGTAACGTCCATCATGTTCCAATGACTCGTGTTACACGGGATCTTCGGTGCCGTCATGAGCACAATAGATACGTGTTATTGAGTTATTCATTGTGTCCGGCTCGTATTCGTCGACGGCATCATAATCATACTCATCTTCCACAATCATGTTATGGAGAATGATACATGTTATCATGATGGATCGAAGTGCCTCGACATCAAATATTCTAGCAGCTGACCTGATAATCGCCCAACGAGCATGCAGGATACCAAAACAACGTTCCATATCCTTCCTATACCCCTCTTGACATTTTGCAAAGTGTTTTTCTTTTTTACTTTGTGGATATGGGACTCTTTTGACAAACATTGTCCACCTTGGGTAAATGCCGTCTGCAAGGTAGTACAATTGTTTACGTATAGCCATTGATTGAATATGTGACTCTGGATGCTTTTCCTTGCAGCAATTCGTCGAACACTGGAGATTGGGCAAAGACATTTATGTTATTTTAAGCTCCTGGAACACCAAAAAATGCATGCTAATTCGAGAGGAAGATGTACTGAAGACTGCCTTTCGCACTAGGTATGGACACTTTGAATTTCGTGTCATGCCTTTTGGATTGACGAATGCACTTGCAGCGTTCATGGATTTGATGAACAAAGTCTTTAGATCGTATCTAGATCGGTTTGTGATTGTGTTCATCGATGATATTATGATCTATTCTAAGAGTGTTGACAAACACAGGAAACATTTAAGGTTGGTGTTAGAAAGACTAAGAAGTCAGCAGATGTATGCTAAGTTCAGGAAGTGTCAATTTTGGCTAAACCAGATCAGCTTTCTCGGACATGTAGTATCTGCTGAGGGAATTAGTGTGGATCCTCATAATGTGTAAGCAATAACTACATGGGAGCAACCGAAGAATGTTACAGAGGTGAGGAGTTTTCTAGGTTTGGCTGACTACATAGTGACATATAATGTACCACCCTGTATTCCTGTCACACTGAAAAATTTCTCGTTGTTTTGATCGGATTTCAATGGTTTACCCGCAACGCAAGTTATAGTTTCCCACTATACCTCTCCAAGTCTCCCCATATATTTTTTTCTTTTGGCCCTTTTGGTATAAGATTTGGCTTACTAAGTCTATGCTTCTTCGCTTAGGCATCATTTCGTATAAGTAATTAGATTAGAATGAATAAGATATTATTTTAAGGTATTTTGACAGCATAAATGAAAATTTGTGAACAACTTAGATAGTGATTACTCAAAAAAATGATTTAGGCCAGCAAACTATGAAAGATTTAGGACATATATGATAAAGTTGCTTAGTACTTACCCTTAAACGGTCCAGCCGGATTACTGGTACATGAGAAATATAAACTCAGTTTTGGCCTCATTTTTACATAAACTTAGTTTAGCTCGGACCGTTTTTAAAATTAGGATGCGTTTGTTGTACCGGACTATCTCGGACTGGATTAGCTTCAGGGAATAAGCTGGATTAGCTTAGAATAGACTAAGCTGGACTGATTTAGTGAAGTGTTTGGTGTAGTGTTGGACTAAGAAGTAGGACTGCAATATTATATTATTTTATATTAATTTAATATATATTAATTAAATTTTTATTATATATTAATTTTTCTTTTTCTTTTTCTAGAACCTTCATTTTTTTACGACACCTCTCCATCCCCACTTTCCTTTTTCCCCATTTTTGTCCCTCCGCCTCTCCCTCCTATTTCCCTTTTCTCCCCATTTTTGACCCACCTATTTTTTATGTACCAATGTCTCCCTCTCCTCCCTTTTTTTTTCTCTCTCTCTCCCCTCTTAGTACTATCTATGTGGTTTATAGTTGGTGTGTAGTGCAGGGGATTTAAGATATATAGATTAGTGGGTTGCCGCCATTCTTGGCCTCTACTTTGCTTCCATCCTTCCAACATTCGCACACCATACTTGCTACTAGACAAGAAAACTCTCTCTCTCTCTCTCTCTCTCTCTCTCTCTCTCTCATCCCCTCTCTGTATTTTCTGGGAAAATCAAAGTTGGTCAAGAAAAATCTCTCAGTCACTGCACCCATGCTAAAGTTTTCAATCTTGCTGTCAACGGAAGAATCTGGGTCACCATGAGACCTGTTTTTACCGTCGTTCGGGTCGACCAAGATGGCAAAAAAACCCCAAATCACCGACACAGAAGCCAAAATGGCTCTAGGTTTATAGGACGATGGATATTGGCGACAACCGTTTCTGGTTTGGTCAGCGAAGAAGGGAGGGTTGATGCTGCTCATGCGGGTTCGCGCGATGCTGCTTGCAGAAGAGGGAGACGAGACTAGCAATCCCGTTGTTGTTGGGGGGTCTCACTAAGACATCTTAGTGAAGCCTTTAGTGTAGGCGAGTCCGAGCTAGTCTCATTAAGATTAGTACTGCGTGATAACAAACACCGGATTTGACTAATGGTTAGTCCAGTCCAGTCTAGTGATAGCTAGTGAGGGTAAACAAACGTCCCCTTAAAGTAAGAATCATATGGTTTGCATCAAGTTGGGTAGTACAATCCGAATGTAATTTTAAAATAACTGAGAACACTTTTGGACGTGATTTTAAAATACTTTAGAACACTTTTGATGAAAATGTTGTTGGAACAAATCCTTAGTAAAAATGCAAGTAAATCTTAAAAACGCACTTAAAATGCTTTCTAGAAGAAGCACATAACTGGTGCTTCTTGCAAAAAACACTTAAAGTGAACCCAAAAATATTTTCTCTAAAAACACTTTTAGACATTTTAAAAACGCATCCAAACAAATCTTTATTGTATGTAATATCGTTTGTTCGAAAAGAAAAAAAATTAAGATTTTAAAATAGATTAGTATAGATCAGTGTAATAAGAAACAAAAGAATTCCGTTGCCGGGACTTGAACCCGTGTCTTTCGGGTGAGAGCCGAATATCCTGACCAACTAGACTACAACGGAGTTGTTGGCTTTGCACTACACAATTGTTTATAGAAAGAAATGATAGAGTTCATTCTCCTATAACATTACAATTATGGGATCCCATCCCCATTTCTGTCTGGGATCCACATGGCTACAATTCAATCAATTCTATTACCTTTCAATTCAATATGATCCAATCTCAATCATTGATAGAATTGTTAATTAACCTAACCAAACTCACAATCATTGACTTTAGTCAAATGGTTGAAACTCATGCTCTTTTAACTGCACAAACCTTTATACAACTACACTTGGGAAAGCAATAACCAAGGTTTGGAGTATGAGCATCCAATAGCGCAGGTGTATGTGTCCATTGCGTCTATCTTGGGTACTTTAGGTTCAGCCTGTCGTGACCCAAAAACCACCGGTTTTTCTTGGTGGAGTGATCGGGAACACTTGACCTATCAATTTATCCAGTAAAGTTTCTATTTAAAGTGTTCACTTTTTTAATCTTCTATGTAAATTTTTGTATTCAAGTATGACATGATACGTAGAGTAGAGAGAGGCATCAGAACCAAGCAATACATTTGGAAAACCATATTTACAGATGTATAAATTGTCCGAGGAACCCTTCCCTCAGTTGTTACCAAAGACAACATTTCACCAATCAAAATGCAGTGTACAAAATTGTACCAAATGGGTTCGGGTTCTATGACAATATACATATATGTATAGGTATATATAAGTCCTTCCAAATTTATACAAAACCGGTATAATATGATGAACATAATATGCTTAGTCAAACAGTTCCCAATCCTGAGTTATTTTGGTAGAAGATGGCGATGGGGTTGGGGCATGCAGGCTTCCAACCCCCAACTCAAACCTCTCCCATTTTGTAGTGACCGAGACCGCGTTGATACTCTTCTTGCTGAATGGATTAGGGTTTCTCGCCTTCAGATTGTCGAGTGTGTCAACAAAGCTCTGCACACGACGAACCTGTATGCAAGAACATAACTATTGTCACTCTCCATTGACACAAAATATTCATGCAGGCACTTCTATGGAACATATGGGCGAGCAACTGTTTAACGAAAGTGATGTAAAAAGCATCATTTGGAACCGAAGATGTTGCACAGCTACGAGTTGAAATTTCTCTATGTTGGGGTCCTAGGATTCTTTTCCATGACACAATCCAAAATATGCACACGTGAAATTCGTTGGCGGTCCTTCCAAGAGCAAAAGAATCCCCAACCCATCTTTTTGTTCAAATGGAAAAATCTGAACCCCACATTTAGGATCCAAGAAATGTCTTCGACTCGTGCACTCTCAGTTTTCAAATTTTACTCGCACTAGGTTTCAAATTTCTCGAGTTCCATCTCATTTTTAACTTTATAGAGCACGAGTAACAAGCATCATTTGTCGTAAGTAATGACTCAAGTAGCAACGCTGTTGATCAGGATAATGTGGCTTAGGTTCCCTATAAGCATGGAAAACCTTATGAACCATCACACTAGTTATAAAGTTTCGAAAAGAAGCATCACCAACCTCGACCCGCCTCTGCACTTTTGCTTCTCCATCAGCTACAATCGAATCCAATTTAAATAACTCCACCATGAGTAACTCCGTTAAGGCCACAATCTCCTTATCTGAAACGGTGGTGCCACTTAGCAGAGTTGTCTCCAAATCAACAACCTAACAAATGATTAACGGCGCAATTAGCTTATAGAACGCTGCACGAAAAAAGGACTTAATCAAACAGAATATAAACAAACCTTTTGAGAGAGCTTGTCAACCTGTGCTCTGACTTTGGCAACCTGCTCATAGGCTTTCAATATGCCTTGATTTTTCTTCATCTCCTCAAGCTTCTTCTCTTTGCTAGCTGGGTCCTCTAGTAATACAATCTTCGACATATCTTTCACGCCAGCAATGTGCAGACATTCATTATCTTCCTTCTCTTTCCCTCTGAACAACAATCTTTGCTCCTTTGGCTCCAAACCAGTGTCATGGGCAAGAACTCTTTTCAGATCACCTTGCATTTAACCGCGATTACGAATAAGTTCCAACACAGTTGCAGAATGTAGAATGATGAACAAAAAGATTCACATTCTATCCCCCCACATAAATTCCAAATGCCAAGTCCAACACACCAAAAGGATGAAGCAAAAGACTACTCTTGAACAGTAAGAAATTTTTGTCAGAATATATGTTACTGAAGAAAGAAGCAAAACTGAATCAAGACAAACAAAAGAAGCAAACTTTAAGAATCCACTGCATATATTGAAGCATTAAAACAAATACAATTTCACAAATTATTACCTAAATCATTTATCAACTCTAAATTCACCCTTGCATTGTCCATTTTTTTTTCACAGATTTTAATAATAAAATAAACAAAATTTTCTTGGATGGCAATCACCAATTTTTCCAAAAAATATATAATGAAGAACCCAAATTGTAAATGGGCAATGCTACCCAAAATTCTCATCAGAAAAATTATGAGGAAAACAAGAAGAACCCAGAAAGTAAATTAAATCAGGTTAATGAGAAGATTTACCAAAAGTGGATTGAGCATGGACAATGAGATCATGGTAATAAGAACCATGAGAAACCTTGATCTTGATCATAATCCCAGAATTGGCATCCCCAGTGTCTCTCTTTTGAACAAGCATTCCACCAGGCCTCAGCTCCCAATCTATCTTCCTATTTAACCCATCATTCCCCACACCAACTCTTGATCTTTTTTTCATTCTATTTGTCTGAGAGGATCATAAAATTATGGAAAAAATGGAGAAGGTGGAATGGTTGAGAGAGAGAGAGAGAGAGGTGAGTGTGTGATGTCTTGGAGGGTTGAGTAAGCAAAGAAAATGCACTTGAAGACAGGGACCTCTCCAACTAAAAAGTTGGTATGCAGATTGCAGAAGGAGAGTACCACTTTACACTTGCACTCGTGCGACTCTGTTTAACTTTCCTGGACATTAAGTGGGCTTAGTATGGGCTTTTTGTTAAAATTTGGACTTGGGCTTGAAGTTCATGGATTTTAGAAGTGTTTGTCACCAATGCACTTTGATTGGTGTCCACTTTGTTCAATGTGTAGACATGGATTTTTGTGTCTTCTTAAGTAGGCATGGGCTCCCTACCCAAACAACTAACTTGGGTTCTTATCATTTTGTTTAGCTTACTCTAAACCATCAGCCACTAATGAGTCCAAAACAACAAAAAGTCTTAGGTGAGGCTGCTCTATCCGACAACTCAATCATAGAAGGTGGGATCGAGTGCGGCCCAACTGTATGGCTTCTTTTTGCGTTTTTTAGAGAATTGTCGGATAGGGTAGCCTCACCCAAGATACGCTTCTTAATAGTGGTTTATGATTATAAATAAAGCATGTCAGATTTATTCTAATTACTATATTTTTATCTTTGAATTGAATAAATTAAAATCACTACTATTAATTTAATATGTAAGACAAAAAAAGGAAATTTTGGACACATTTCGGTGAGTTTTTTATTTTTATTATTGTTTCTTTCTTGTCAAATTGTTATTATTATTATTGCTGGTGGAAATGTCATAGAAAAAAGGGAGTTTTAATGAAAAGGGCTTTGATTAAGTTTAATTTAACCAAAAACCACCCTATACTATTATTTAACCAAAAGGGCTTTATATTTAATGATAAGGACAAAACTATTATACATCAGACCCTATAAACCTTAAATACACATGGGCTGAATTAAAAGCCCAAACGAAATAATTTTTTTTTCAGCTCTTACCCCTAACGGAACCCCACTCCGTCAGCCACTTCCGTTAGAAATAGATTTTCATTTTTTTACAAGTATGCCACTTCCTCATAAAAAAAAATTGAAAAAAAAAACCCAATAATTTTATACGACCACAAATCCCATCTTGAATTTTGTTCGTTCTTGCTTTGTTAATTTTAAATCTGAGGGGAAAATGTTATGACCTGTTTGGTCGCTCAGAAAATTTCACTGAGATTCTGTTATTTTGACCTACAATATTGGACGAAGGCGCACTGTCCATGGGAGTTGGGGGAGAGAACGAAGGCGCACTGTCCGTGGGAGAGGCCGAGCTGGGATTGAAGCGAGGCGGCAAGGGTTCGGACTCGAAAAATGAACTCGGGGTAGAGAATATGGTGGCCGGTGGCTGCGTCGAGGAGGGCAGGAGTGGAAGGCAGGGGAGGGGAGTGGTGGAGGCAGGAGATAAGGTAGTCGGTGAGGGAAAGAGGTGTGGTTTGGGGAGGGGGTTGGGATCTGGGTCTCAGGCTGTGGAAAGCCTTGGTCTTTGAGCAAAGCCCATTCTTTGGATCAATGTTGCTGCCCTTCTGTTGAGTCGCCATTATTGTTTCAGTTGTTTGAGGTTAAGGTTTCAAGATTTGAATTGGATATGGAGGTATTAAAATAGATATTTTGGAAAATAACTGTCATAGATAATATGTGGATGAACACTTGAATAATCGTTATTATATATCCAAAGAAAAATCAGATGAATTATATTCATATAAAAATGGATGGGTTACTATTTCTGCATAGTATTTCATTGTTTATTTGATAAAAGTTTGTAAAGTGAATAGTGTTGCATAAATAGCAGTTATTTTGTTCCCTTCCAGAAATAGTATGAGTTATTTTGGTTTAGTTTTAAAAAATAGTGTGTAATTTTATTGTAGTTCCATAAATAGTATGAGTTATTTTAGTTCAGTTTCAGAAATAGTGTGGGCTATTTTAGTTTAATTTTGAGAAATAGTGTGTAATTTTATTATAGTTCCAGAAATAGTGTGAGTTATATTGGTTCAGTTTTAGAAGTATGGGTTGTTTTGCTGTAATTCTAAAAATATTGTGAATTATTTTGGTTCAGTTTCATAAATAGTTTTGCAATGGTACCATAAATAATGTGCGTTATTTGGTTCAATTTCAGAAATAGTGTTGGTTATTTTGCTATATTTTCATAAATATTGTTTATTTTGTTTCCTTCCAAAAATAGTGTGTGTTATTTTGGTTTAGTTTCAGAAATAGTATGAGTTATTTTGCTGTAGTTCCATAAATAGTATGAGTTATTTTACTGTAGTTTCAAATATAATGTGAGTTATTTTGGTTCTGCTTCAGATATAGTCTGGGTTCTTTTGTTGTAGTTTCATAAATAGTCAATCAGTTTAATAAATAGTGTAGTACCTATGTCGGTTTCATAAATAGTCAGTTAGTTTAATAAATATAGTGTAGTGCCTGTGTCAGTTTCATAAATAGTGTACTACATGTGTTAATTTCATAAATAGTCAATCAGTTTAATAAATAATGTATAGTACATGTGTCAATTTCATGAATAGTTTGTCAATTTAATAAATAGTGTAGTACCTGTGTCAATTTCATAAATAGTTTGTCAGTTTAATAAATAGTGTAGTATCCGTGTCAGTTTCATAAATAGTGAGTTTAATAAATAGTGTAGTACATGTGTTAGTTTCATAAATAGTCAGTCCGTTAGTATCCGTGTCAGTTTCATAAATAGTGAGTTTAATAAATAGTGCAGTACATGTGTTAGTTTCATAAATAGTCAGTTCGTTTCACAAATAGTGTATACCTATGTCAGTTTCATAAATAGTCAATCAGTTTAATAAATAGTGTAGTACCCATGTCAGTTTCATAAATAGTGAGTTTAATAAATAGTGTTGTACCCCTTGTTAGTTTCATAAATAGTCAGTGTTCAATTTAACAATAGTGATAGTTTTAGTAAAAAAAACTTGTGTTGGAAATACATATAAAAAAACTTGTGATGGAAATAAAAATAACCAAATCACTAGCAATTGCAGAGATTTGTACATAAAAAAATGCAGATACAGGTTATTAATCACAAATGCTGAGAAATACACACACACACACATATATATACACGCAAATCGTCCCTAAACTCTTTACGAGTACATATATCATTAGATTCACTCATTCATACAATCTATTACCACATTCAACTCTCATACTTACAATTAATTAAACTTTTAGATTCACAATTTTTTTTAATTGTACGGAAATAGAACAACAGAAACTAAGAGAACTTGTAAATTGAGCTTCAAATTCTAAAAAATGGCCACATTCAAACAAAAAATAGTGGGTATATATAAACAAATCCAGAGCCATCAAACACAAGTATGACAGTCCAGAGCCACTAAACCCTTCCATTTGCTTCAAAATCCCTTGCTCCCTACTACTCCAGAGTCCACCCAAAATGTGAAAAAACCAATTCAATACTCAAACGAAGAAAAAGAATTTGCCAAAAAAAAAAACGCAATGAAAGTGAGCGAATTTCATTTGAAGTAAAATGATAGTTGTTGCTGATCATTTGGGGGGAAACTATTAGCTGCTGCTGCTGCTTCAGCTAGGGAACACTTGAGTGGAGCTGGGAGACTGGGTTTTGGGGAGAAATGTTGGGTGTGCAAGTGCCGCCGTTCAGAAGATGCAGGTCAGCATCTGAATGTCGTTGTCGTCAGATCCGGCTCCTCTTCCGGCAAAATCACCTCCAGGAGCTACGAGTTCATCGACAAAAGCACATCCAGCAAAATCGCTCAGCCATCGAGCCAGTACTCACGGCTGCAGCAGTTTCTACCGAGGAACTTCGTTGGCAGGTCGGATGACGTGAAGCATATTGTTTGGGTTACGTGCAACGCGACAAAGAGATCGTTAACGAGCACGGATCTCTTCGTGCCTCCTATTGAAGTAAAATGGGAGCCCATTGATATGACGGAGAAGAAGGTCGGATGATGGTGAGAAGCGAAACAGACCAAATAAACGGCAAGACTTGACGTCATGGTTAAAATTGGAAGCCCAATAAATTATATTCCTTGGGCTAGTCTTATTGGGTTGATTTGATGTTGGGCTTTGTCCTAACCATTAAATAAACTTGTTACTTGGTTTTTGGTTAAGATTTAAAGTTTTCAAGCCTTTTTCATTAGTTTTCCTTAGAAAAAAGCATCTTTGTCACCGATGGGCCACCCGGTCAGGACAAGTAGGCAATGGGCCCAAATTGAGATAGCAGCTCGCGGACAGTGGTGGAACAATCATTTCAAAAGAATGTACAGTTGGCCCATCAAAGGACCCACACCACAAGCCTATGACTCAACTTTGATTGCTGAACTCAAGTGATCAAACTTTGAATATTACTGGGAATTCGGATATTCCTTTTTTTCTTTTCGTTTTTTTTAATGGAATTAGCTGGTGATTTCGACACGGCAGTTCACCATTTAGGGTCTGAGAAGATTCACAGAGACATTTCAGCCTCCTGACCACCATTGTTGATTCACCAGTGCCAAAAATTGAACACATGACAGACCGTATAGAATACGAACCTATATATTTTCTTTCATTTAAGGAGAACTTTAGTGCACGTGAGAAACTTTTTTTTAGTGACATATACGTCAACAAAATGCTACATTCGCAAGAAAAATTTGTTGAAATTTCGATAATTGGGTTGTGAGAAAATTTAGAATTAATAACTTGTACATATAATGGATGAAAATTTCAAATTACAGGCTTCTATTTGTATTGAATGGGATGAAAAAAATAATCCGCAATTTGATGAAGCAATTGACAAAATTGAGAGAGGATCCTCGCCGGATCTTCTTTGTCAAGGGGAATCTCTAATCACATCCGTTCATCGTACATCGTGCAGTCAATTTTTGTCAGGTACTGTTTATATTCAATTTTAAATAAAAAAAATTTACAATAATTTCTAACCGCACGATGTACGATGAGCGGATATGATTAGAGGATCTCCAAGATCCTCACAAATAAGATCTGGCGAGGATCCTCTTGGGACAAAACTAATGGTTGATGGGACAATTACATAAATTGAAAGGTTATCGGGCTCCAAATCAAATTGAAAATTTAGAAAGAAGAGTGGAACAAG